AGCTTTCTTCGCCACATTTGCTTATGCACCCATTTGTCTTCAGTGATCCGTTCGACACCCCGTGATCACACAGGTTGATATGTTGTTCATGGTTTGTAATTTTCAAAGGACATTATCTCTCATTTGATTCTCAAAATAACCCCGGGAAAGAAGCCTTGTGAATGTAAGCTTTTGAGCTGAGGAGATAGAAGAGTCCCGAGATGGAATCCAGTAAATGACCACTCTGGCATTTGAGCTCCGGCCTCTGTCTCCTCGCTCGCCTGTGTCTATTCCTCTGTGTTCTTAACTACAGTCACACTGCTCTTTGCCATGCTGATGAAAGCTAAGGAAATGCATCTAAATGTGCACTACGTTTTATGTAATTGCTAGAGTTCAAACACACAAGTCAGGATGCCCTGCAGGTGGCTCCCAAAGCCTCCCTTGCCCCCCAAGCTGGGGGCTGGTAGGGATGGCTTCTCTACCTGTCTGGACCTCAGCACTTGCCTTTGATCTCAGCACTGCATCCCTGCTGGGCTGTAAACTCCCCAGGGCGGGACCTCATATGTGCCTCTCAATTTCTTCCTGTTCCCCCTCTCAGCCCAATGCCTGCTGGCCCATGGTGGGTGCTCTGTAGATATCAGTGAGTGAACGGGTAGATTTTAAATCTCCGTCTTTCAACTTGTACAAGCATTAACTTTGCCTTTATCCTTTGTTTCAGCCACACCCCAGCGACGTGAAGCAGGACGATGGCCAGTTCAAGAGCCTGTTTGAGAAGCTGGCAGGGCAGGTGCGTGGTGGGCAAACACAGCGCCCCGGGTGGGTGGACAGGTGGGCAGAGTACATGGGCACTCTCAGCTTTCCTTTTGGGAGGACCTGTGAGTGAGCCGAGCGAGGCCGCAGGTCTCCGGGCCCTGGCCTTCGTGTCTTCTTGTCTAATGTCCCCTTCTTGTCAAGGTGACTGACTCTTGAGAAAACGGGAAACCGGATCTGCAGGTCCTGCCAGAGCCTGTTCTCTTTGTAAACTGGCCCTGTCAACTTGGGGCCTCTGACTAAACAGCCAAGGCAGTGAAATCCCTCCAGATCAATACCCTTCAGAGGGGCGGGATGGCCCGCTAGGGCTCAGTGGCTCAGTGAACTGGCTCTGGGATTGGTCCCCAGAGTGTCCAGCTCACTCTCCGGGGGTTGAGGGTTGGAGAGGGTGGGAGGGGGGCGGTTCTGGGAGGTGGGGGTTAGGGAGGACAGGGTGAGGTGGGACAAAGAACACTCTGACTCCCGAATTCAAGCCTGGCTGTGCCCCTTGCACTACTTGGGGCTCACTGCTCATTTCCTTCCCTTGAGTCATGGGTTCCTATGATTCCAGTCCCATGGAGGCCCCGGGACAAGTTAGAGCATCCCGGGACCAGAGGTACCACAACCAATCCCATAAAGACAGCGCATGCATTGCTCTCTGGTAGGTTATACGGTGTGCCACAGGGCCCAGGGAGGGGAGCAGCCAGGCTCGCCCCACCCCGGGGAAACTCGGGGTGAATTTCTGGACTGGCGAATGGAGTAGAAGAACAAATATCAGCCTCCTCTACAGAAAGTAAGACCGGGAGCACAGTTCTTCTGCGGAGTCATTGAAACGCTTTCCCACACGAGGTCATTTCGGTCCTAGGTGGCGGTCTCAGCTCCCAGGGGGCCCTAGTGTCTTATAAGCAGCCCACGCTGTATTTGTATCATTCTCCTCCTGCCTCATCTTACTCTTCTCTATGATCGATCGATCGTCTGGGGCAGCATCTGGTACTCTCCTATCTCTGCAGGTGAAGTGGCCGCACGGGGGTGGGGTAGGGTGGGGGTGGTGGTGAGGAGGGCCGGGGCCAAGGTTCAAAGGTCGATGCCCTGACCTCTTATTTCTTTCCCGGCAGGGTCCTGGGGGCCATGCTCTGTGTTCTTGGCCAGGAGACTTTTCAGGTCTTTTGAAAACAAAGTGAACCCTGTGGTTGCTACCTCTATCGTGGCTCACGGCGACCCCGTGTATTGTAGGGTAGAACTGCTCTATAGGATTTTCTCGGCCATTACCTGCTTTGGAAGCACGTCACCAGACCTTTCTTACACCGTGAAGGGCCGTGGGGTGGTGGAGACCACCAACCTTCAGATCAGGCTTTGAGTGAAGACCATTTGTGTTACTAGGGGCTTCTCAGGGTTCCTCAGGCCAACAACCCTGCCATCCCAGGTGCCCCCGGGTGGTGTTAGCAATGAACCTACGTTGCTGCTGACTGAAAGGTTTGGGGTTTGAGTCTGCCTTGGAAGAAAGGCCTGGAAAAATCAGCCATCAGAAATGTTGTGGAACAAGCAATTCGACTCGGACACACACGGGGTCCACGCACGGGAATCGACCCAAGCCCAACTGGCTTTGAGCTTTATCTGGCTGGGGGAGGAGGAGCACCTGGACGTGGGGAGGAGCAGGAGGAGCACCTGGGGACACACTGTCCAACCCCCACACTCGACAAGGGAAGCGCCGTTGCTAAGGTCACCCAGCGAGTCAGGGGTGCAGTCAACATCGGAACCCAGATCTGGGTCTGGTGTCCCCTCGCGGCACCTTGTTTTACATCATGCCTGAGATTTGCTTCCCTCGGAGACGGAGGGAGCAGATCTGCCTTGAGCACAGCATTGACCCCAAATGTGTGTGCGCATGCATGTCTCTCTTAGAAAAACGTTCCACTGTAAATTCGGTGAAGGTTTAAACGGCGGACTTTTGGTTGGCATTAAGCGGTTGGTACACAGTTTGCTTCCCACACCTATTTCATTGTTTCAAGATACCATCGTGTCCCCCACTTCCTCCCTACGTTCTGTGTGTCCCTTCCTCTGCCTTCCCTGACCCTTTGAGCGTCACACTGCCCTTTTGACCGTCAGTGGTGGGTTATTTTCGCATGGGGGCGAGTGCCATTTTCAAGAGTGGCAAAGGGCCATCATTAGGGGGTTCCATCCCTCCGTCTCTCCGAGGACATTGATTTGCTCCCAGTCTATCCAGGATCTTCCTCTTCGGAGCAGTTGTTCGTGGTAGCCAGGTGCCATCTGTTCTTCTGGTCTCCGGGTCACAGTGGCTGATGTCTGCGTGTCCCACTCACCCGTGGTGTGAACTAGCGCCATGTGGCTTTCCGTTTTCACCCCTCTTCTTTCCTCTGGGAGGGAGGGAACCAGCAGTCGCACCGTAGTTCAGTCGGCTCCTGAGCTCTGCGGACTCTAGTTGGTACTCGCTCAAATAGGATGTAGACCTTTAGCGAATGTGGGAAGTTCTAATCCCCTAAATCTCTGCTCCCAGTCTTCGATTGACTGCTGCAAGATATAGCAACCCCCCGCCCCCCAAGGCAGAGATGGGGTGCTGTGGTGAAGGCTGGTGTTCCAGGGTGCAATCGACTTAGGGTGCAAAGACCAGGTCTCTTACTCTGTAGCTGGGAACCCCAAGAAATGACCTTGAATCTGAAAATGAGGATCATATGTGTCCAGCAATGTAGCGGTTTAGTGGTCAGCGGCCAACAGAAAGGTCAGTGGTGCAAACCCACCAGTTCCTCCATGGGCGAAAGCAGCCTGATTTGGTAGATACTGCCCTTGCAGGTCAGGCCTACTCTTCCCGGCGGGCTTGCAAGAGGGTTGCTATGAGCTGGAATCGACTAGCTGCCAGTGGGCGTGGTTTGGTTTGGATATGGATGTAGAGCTTAGTTTACGAAATCAGGGGTTCCTTCATTCTCAAATGGAGCTGGAATGGTTGTCCTCATGTGTGTGAGGGGTACACGGTGCTCACCCCTGTTATTATTGCACCCCCACCACCACCCCAGCTTGCTCTCTGTTTCAGCAAGTGCCACACAGGAGGGACAAGGGCCTGAACAGGGCTTTCTACTCCTGTCACGAGTGGCAGTCTGGGAAACTCACAGCGGGAGGTTCTCCCCCATCCTGCAGGTTCCCTCTGCGTCAGTGAGTTTGGGTCTCTGCTTGAGCTTGATCTCGGATTCAGCCAGCGCTGGGCAGGGGGTCCGGGCCCTGGGCCCGGGGCGGCAGCCTTCAGCTGCAGTCAGAGCAGTGCTCACACCATGCCACACGTGCCCAGCAGGGATGCCAGGATCCCCGAGGGAAAGGCGTTTGAGGTTTCAAAGAAAAAACGCCGTTTTGTGTGCAGTCCCAGTGTCTGTGCAAACTGACATGACAGATCTCCTTTCTAGGACTCGGAGATTAGCGCCAGTGAGCTCAAGGTGGTTCTGAATGGAGTGTTTTCCAAACGTAAGTTCCCCCTTGAGGCCTTTGAGCAAGTCCACAGGAACCTGTGAGGGATGCCAGGGTCAGGGTGGGGGCAGGCTTTGGGTTGCACCTCTTGGGGAGATGGGCCCTTGAGCTAGTCTGGCTGACCCTCTTCCACCTGACAGGCAGAACTGAGGTGGGGTGGTGGGGGTGGTGATAGGGGCTGATGGAGGAGGCGGTGCCGGCTCAGTCAGGGCTGGACCTGCAGACAGACGTGCAGGAACAAGGCCCATGCCGTGGTGTGCTGAGATCATCTTTCATAAAGCAAGTCACTGTGACATTGTGGAAGTCCTGGACAGATTAAAGGGCGTCCTTGCTTGTGAGTCTTCCGCGAAAGGTGTGCCGAGGGGATGAAGGACTCCATCCGGCTTAGTTCCCTCGGATTCTTCCCCGGACTTTTACCACGCTCCCAGAGCCCTGGCGACACAGTGGTTACCTGTTGGGCTGCTAACTGCAAGGTCAGCCATTTGACACCACCACTACTCCGAGGGCAAAAGTTGGGGCTCTCTGCTCCCAGAGAGAGTTGCAGTCTCAGAAACTCACGAGGGCAGTTCTACCCTGTCCGGTAGAGCCGCTAGGAGTCGGCATGAACCCAATGGCAGTGGGTTTGGTTTGGCTAAACTGCCCTCGTCTGATCCCCAGCTTGGTAGGAGTCAGCGTGGAGCTGATTTCCCTTCTGGCCCAGAGATAGGCCAGCTAGGTCTGCTGACAGGTCCGCTTCTTGTTGCTCCTGCCTCCCTCTTGGGCGGGAAGGGGTGCTGATGGGAGCAGGGGGAGGAGGGAGGGCTGCAAGGTCTCGCTGGCTCCTGCCTTGGTGAGGCTCCCAGGTGTGAGAAAGGTGGGGTGGAGGACAGGGTGCAACGGCCCCTTTGGGTTTCCGAGACTATAACATTTTATGGGAATAGAAAGAAAGCTTCATCTTTCCTCTGTGGGAAGCTGGTAGTTTCAAACTGCTGACCTCGCAGTTCGCAGCCCAACGAGTAAGGTACTTACAGTCCACAGGGGCCACTGCATTGGGCATGAGCACAGACAGCACAGAACCAGGTGACCTTTCCTTCAATGATGCCCCGGCCTGTCTGAGTCAGCACGGACGCCATGGCAGTGAACAGCACCTGGCCAGTGGTTCAAAGCACAAGCTGGGGAGCCCGGTGGCCCATATTTAAATCCCCACTCTGCCCCCTACTGGTTGTGCAAAGTTGGACACTATATTTCATCTCTCTCTGGGCCCCAGGTTCCTCATCTACAAAATAGGACGATGCCTGCACCTTCCACAGGAGGTTATTTTGAGGAGTCCATGTGCAGTGCTTAGAATAAGAAGTAGCGAATAAGAAGCTGCCTTGCTAGGAACTCACCAGGGGCCCCGCATTGTGCTGAGGACCCCATGTGCACGATCTCCTTTAATCGCCACCCAGCAGCAGAGCCCAGCGTCGAACACTGACCCCCGACTGGAGGGCTGCTAACCACTCTCCTGCATGGCCTCCTGGGCGTGTGCTGAGGAACCATGTAGTGGGACCACATGCTCGGTTCCACCCCAGCTGGGGCCCTTGGTCTCCCGCCAAGGAAATGATTTCTCCTGGTCCTCATTCTACCTTCCCCACCCCCTTTCTCTTCAATACCTAGGAACAGACATCAAGTTCGATGGCTTCAACATCAACACTTGCAGAGAAATGATCAGCCTGTTGGATGTATCCTTTCACTGTGCTTACTCTTCCCGTTTCTCACAGCTCCTCGACCTGGCGGAAAGAGAAAGGTCGAGAGTGGAAATGAGCACATGCTAGGCATCGGGCTGCAAGCTTGTATGTGTACAGCTCTCTTATACCTACGGACATGTGCCTATGCTTCGAGGCGTGTTAAATGCACGTGTGTATATTCACAAAGGGGAAAACCAAAACAAAACACTGTCATTGAGTCGATTGAAGGTTTGTGAGGCTGTGAATCCATATAGGTGCAGGCAGTCTCGTCTTTCTCCTGTGGAGTGGCTGGTGGGTTCAAACTGCCAAACCTGGTGTTATTCGTCCACGGTTTACCTGGAAGCACCACCAGGTTTTCATATATATGATTTATATATCGCTATATGATGCTTCTCAGAACCTTCCTTGAAGGGAAGAAGGCAGGACTTCATGTCATGTACCTTGGACCTGTTATCAGGAGGGGCCAGTCCCTGGAGGAGGTCCTCACGCTTGGGAAAGCACAGCATCTGTGAATGGAGGAAGACCCTCAATGAGATGGACTGACATGGTGGCTGCAACCGTGTGCTCAGCCCGAAACGCTTGTGAGGACGATGTGGGGCCAGGCAGTGTTTCGTTCTGCTGGGACGAGCTAAGTTGCACCTAACAATGCACACCTGTTTGTGTATATTTTATAAAACAGTACATTTTATCTATCTAAAGCCTTACATGCTCCTCAAGAAGCCTGAAATTATCTACCATCTACAGGTAAAGAAAGCAGAAGTGGGCAATGTTCCCTGCGCTTGTTGAAAATCACTACTTCTAGAGATAGCTGCTGTGTGGGCTGTGTGATCCTTCATCCCTCCATACTCCCTTAGGTTATCGTGGGGGTCTGTCTTCCGCCGGACTCCATCCCCATGTTCCCCTCCCTTCCTCTCCTCTCCACCACTATCTGTGCTTTGTCTTAGGATCTTAACACAGCCCCAGGCAGCTCCTACAAATCATAGGTTCCCAAACGTATTTGGCCTACTGCCCACTTTCCAGAAAAGAAAAAGAAAATTATTGAGTCCTCTGTCTATGAGGACTGTAGCCCATAATCCAGGATACAGTGTAAGTATCTGCTTGTGGAGGCCTGTGGAGGGTCCAGTGCCGCCCCACAGGGGGCAGTGTTGCCCACTATGGGAAACAGAGCAACCAATAGTTCAGAATGGGAAAGCCTGTCTGCTCCCTCTGATGGAATGCTAACCCTCATGGTACCCAGTGGGATGTGTCAGCGTTGCAGGCAGAGTGGAGAAGGTTAGGCCACTCCAGGAGGGGGGAATATCTTAGATGAAGGCCCTCTCGGGAGTGGTTGAACATCACCTTTTTCTTTTTTCAGTCATGTTCTTGGGGGCTCATACAATTCTTATCACAATCTATACAGCCATCCACTGTGTCAAGCACATTTGTACATTTGCTGCCATCGTCATTCTCAAAACATTTACTTTCTACTTGAGCCCTTGGTATCAGCTCATCATTTCCCCCCTCTTTTCCTGCTCCCCCCTTCCTCATGAACCCTTGATAATTTATAAATTATTATTTTGTCATATCGTACACTGTCCGACGTCTCCCTTCACCCACTTTTCTGTTGTCCATCCCCCAGGGAGGAGGTTATATGTAGATTCCTGTAGTCAGGTCCCCTCTCTACCCAACCCTCCCTCCATGAACATCACTTTTTTCAACTTTGCCCAGGTTGGGACCAGGTGACCCTTCTCTGTTGGGCTGATCATGAGGGCGATTTCCTTAAAAATCATAACTTTGGAAGGTTCTCCTCAGGTCATAGGCTTCCTCCATGCTGAGCTGGGCAGGATTCTGCAGGATTCCTTAACAAGAGTGATCTTATTTGCATTTGCATGACTTTGTCTAGTAGAGGGTGTGAGCTCAGACTTCTGCTAGGGTTAGCTGAATGCAGAAATGCAGCTATGCTTGTGGTCCCCCAGTGCCAGGGACCACTCCCTGTGTGACTTGTAACCTTCCATCGACCTATGTGGCAAGCCATGTAATTTGTAGGCCACAGATCATTGTTGGGCATTGACTCACTTTGTTACAAGTAGTTCCTTGACTTCTAACCCATTTTCATTAAACCGTGTCTGTTGGCTTCAGTTTACATCTGAGCATTGTCTCCTATGTTCCCAAGGGCATTGTGGATCACTCTTGTGGAGTGTTTGTTTTTAAAAAACCATTTTACTGGGGGCTCTTACAGTTCTTTTAACAATCCACAAATGTACAAATGTGCTTGATACAATGGATGGATGTATAGATTGTAATAAGAATTGTATGAGCCCCCAATAAAATGATTTTTTTTAACCCCAACAAAACAATCCACACATCAATTGTATCAAGCACATTTGTACATGTTGCCATCGTCCTTTTCCATTTTCTTTCTACTTGAGCCCTTAGTATCAGCTCCTCTTTTTGCCCCTCTCCCCCCACCCTCCTGAACCCTTGATAAATTATAAATTAATTATTCATAGCTTACACTGTCTGCTGTCTCCCTTCACCCATGTTTCTGTTGTTCATCACCCTGGATGGGTGGGTGGGGTTATATGTCGATCATTGCATTTGGTTCCCCCTTTGTCCCTCCACCTTCCCCTACCCTCATGATATTGCTATTGGTCCTGAGGGGTTTATCTGTTCTGTATTCTGTGTGTCCAGAGCTCTTATCTGTACAAGTGTACATGCTCTGGTCTAGCCAGATTTGTAAGGTAGAACTGGGGTTTTGATAGTTAGGAGGAAGGGAGGAAGCATTAAAGACTAGAGGAATGTTGTATGTTTCGTCAGTGCTATACTTCACACTGGATGGCTCATCCCTTCCTTGTGACCCTCTGTAAGGGGATGTCCAATTGTCTATAGGTGGGCTATGGGTTTCCACTTTGAACCCCTGCCCCATTTGCATCAATATGATTGTTTGTTTTGGATCTTCTGATGCCTGATACCTGATCCTGTTGACACCTCATGATCACATAAGCTGGTGTGCTTCTTCCATGTGGGCTTTGTTACTTCTCAGCTAGATGGCCACTTGAGACCCCAGACACTATATCTTTTAATAGCCAGGCACCATCAGCTTTCTTCATACTTGCTTATGCACTCGTTTTGTCTTCAGTGATCAAGTCAGGAAGGTGAGCATCACAGAATGCCAGGTTATTAGAACAAAGTGCTCTTGCATTGAGGGAATACTTGAGTAGAAGCCTTAATACTTAACATATAAATATGTGTGCATAGATCTATTCTCTATTATTATATGTAAATATATTGACATATGTATGTTCCTGTATTTATACCTCTATAAATGTCCTTTGCCCCCTAGTTCTTTCCTCTATTTCCTTTTACTTTCTTCTTGTCCTACTATCATGCTCAGCCTTCAGTTGGCTTTCAATAATGTCTCTCGGCTACATTGCACTTGATCAAACCCCACCAGGCATTATACATTTTTTGTGGAGCATTCTCTTTTTTTTTTGTTAAATCATTTTATTAGGGGCTCATACAACTCTTATCATAATCCATGCACAATTGTGTAAAGCGGCTTTGTACATTCACTGCCCTCATCATTTTCAAAACATTTTCTCTCCACTTAAACTCCCAGCATTAGGTCCTCATTTTCCCCTCCCTCCCTGCTCCCCCTTCCCTCATGAGCCCTTGATAATTTATAAATTCTTTTGTCATATCTTTCCCTGTCTGACGTCTCCCTTCACCCACTTTTCGGTTGTCCGTCCCCCAGGGATGAGGTCACGTATAGTTCCTTGTAATCGGTTCCCTCTTTCCTACCCACTCTCCCTCTACCCTCCCAGTATCACCACTGACACCACTGGTCCTGTAGGGCTCATCCGCCCTGGATTCCCTGTATTTTCAGTTCCTAGCTGTACCAGTGTACATCCTCTGGTCTAGCCAGACTTGCAAGGTGGAATTCGAGTCATGGTAGTGGGAGCGAGGAGGAAACATTTAGGAACTAGAGGAAAGTTGTATTTTTCATCGTTTTGTTACATCGCCCTGACTGGCTCGTCTCCTCCCTGAGACCCCTCTGCAAGGGGATTTCCAGTGACCTACTAATGGGCTTTGGGTCTCCACTCCGCACTCACCCCATCATTCACTATGGTAAGATTTTTTGTTTTGATGATGCCTCATACTGTGGAGCATTCTTGATGAACTTTCGATTTTACCATTTAGTGGGTGTGGCTATGGTTCTGAACCAGAGTCCCACTCCTGGAGACCTGACTCACTGAGTATAAGATAGCTCTTTACAGGGAATCCCAATGTGCATCTGGAACTGAGGACCAAGGAAAAGAGCCTGGATGTCACAATGGCTAAAGTGCTCAGCTGCTAATCATAAGGTCAGCGGCTCAAAGCAACCAACTGCTTCTTGGGAGAGCGATGAGGCTGCCTGCTTCCATAATGATTTGAAAGACCTGGAACCTCCTGGGAGCAGTTCTACTCTGTCCTGTAGGTCGCTATGAGTTGGGCTCTCCTCAACCGCAGCAGGCTTGGATTAGGTAGGATTGGTCGGTGCTTGGGGTCCAGGACTTTGGAAACAGAAGGCTTCAGTTCTAATTTCTTCATTTACTAGATGAGTAACTTTAGGGATGTTTAGCAAATGCTGTGGATCTCAGTCTCCGGGAACATAGGCTCACGATATCTAGGTCTTATGAATGTGAGATGAAATAAGGTACTGCAGACACAATGCCTAGAACTAGAGGCTCCTAAGAGAGGAGGTTGACATTCTTAGGTATGAACCCGACGGTTGGTTTGGCTAGTTGAAGGAGCCAGGAATGGTGGGTTGCTTCAGAATGTAAGCCTCTGAGCTGTACCTGTTGACGATTGGCAAGTCGTGATTAGTGAGAAATGGGTAGAGTTTTCAACAACCTTCACCTGATAAGGGAAAGGGTAGTTCCACACCAAATCCCTATTATCCAGCACCCAAACCCACCAAACTCACTGCCATTCGGTCGATGCCGACTCATAGTGACCCCGTAGGAGAGGACAGAGTTGCCCCGGTGAGTTTCTGAGACTGTAACTTTACGGGACTAGAGAGCCCCATCTTCCTCCCAAAGAGTGGCTGGTGGTTTTGAACTGCTGACCTTGCAGGTAGCTGCCCAATGCATAAACATAATGCCTCCAGAACTCTTTATCATCTTGCACAGTACTCAATAAATAAATACTTGTTGAATGAAGGCAAAGTTGGACACCAAGGAGCCTCCGCTTACCTCCCTGCCCACCCCCACCTATTTCAGTTGGGGAGAGGCCTATGAACCAGCACCCAGGCATCAGTGTGTGTGTGTGGTGAGAGGGGAGCCTAGCACTCTGAGTGGCACATTGAGGAGCGCTTGAAGTCCACTGGGGAAGAAGACCCCGAAGCTCATGCCTCCTGATGATGCTCCTGAGAACACACTGGCATCCCAGCTGACGCTACTTAACTTGAATTATCCATCTCTGCCATTCGAATTGGGGAATCCTGGATGGTACACAGTCTGTGCTTGGTTCTCACGAAGGCTGGTGCTTTAAAACGGCACCACAGCGCCACGCAAGGAAGGGGCAGCGGCCTGGGTCTATAAAAAGTACAGCCAAGAAAACTCCATCCCATCGGCCTTTCTGTTCTGAAACCCATGGGGCTGCCAGGAGCCTGAAGACAGAGGTTTTTTGTTTTAAATTCAGCTCAATCCTTTTCATATCCCAGGTTGGTTAGGGTGTTCCAAAACAAAGCAATAAAATAAATATTAAAAATTTCAACCAAACAGACAAAAACCACCCATTGTCATCAATTAGATTCTGACTCATACGGTGTTTCAGGTCAGTTAATGAAGTTTCTCAGATCTATAGGCTCCTGTCTTACTCTTTGTTCCCCAGTCCCTGCCTGGCCCCTAAAGCAGGCCTTAGTGAGTGGGTGATGTTTTAATCCTGAGTTGACTTGGGACCTCCAACCCCTGCCGCCCTGCTTCCCCCAGACATGGTCAGTTCTCTAAGGCTTAGGCACTCACAGTGCAGGAGCATGGGAGAAAGACATCCAGAAGCTCGCTGGCAGAATGGGCACTACGTAGTGTTGGTCTTTAACATGTCCAGAGCAATGGGACCGGCACCTTGGGACTGACGGAGTTCAAGACACTCTGGCTGAAGATTAAGAAGTATCTGGTAACTACTCTCCCCTGGCACTCAGCCCCAGCCTGTTGCAGACACTAGTCTGACCAGATCCTTAGCCATGGTCAGATACCTGGGCAGAGCAGGCAGGGTGGCACAAGAGGTGATGGAGAAAGATGTGCATGTGAATCCCAGCCCTGAAGCCCCACCTGTGGGAGGGGAGGAGCTTCACTGGCCCTCAGCCCACCTTCTTAGCGTTGCTCTCTCTTGGGAAGAGGTGATGGAGTCTGGAGTGTGTCCCTGGTCTTCCAAGAAAGCAGTGGGGTGGAGGCCCTAGCCCAGGAAGGGTTGCTTCCTAAGTGGGATTCCTCTCCTGCTGCAGGAGATTTACCTGGAGACTGATGATGACCACTCCGGGACCATCGATGCCCACGAGATGAGGACAGCGCTCAACAAGGCAGGTGAGGGCACACTCTCCAGATAAAGCTTTGGGAGCCAGGCGGGCTCATTTTAAATAGCAATTCCAATAGCTATGGGAGCCCTGAGCATGCAGCGGTTATGCGTTGGGTTGTGATCCGAATGGTCAGCAGTTTGAAACCACCAGCGGCTCTCAGTGAAAGAGACGGAGTTTTCTGTTCCCATAAAGAGTCACATTCTCGGAGCGTCACAGGGGTCAATCTACTCTGTCCTACAGGGCCTCTCTGAGGTGGCGTTGCCTTGACCATGGTGAGCTTTCCTTTTATTATGACGGCTGCTCACGATCCCTGTGTTAGCCCTCCTGTTAGAATACTGTGACCCCCAGGCTTTGCTGTTGCTTGCTGTGTACAGGCTGGATACAGCACGGCACAGCACTTCAGTGTGTTACTGGAAGGGGGACAGCAATCACAGAAGGCGGGGCTGTGCAGGGGATAGGAAGAGAGCTGGCCCCAGAGGCTGTCCACTGACCTCCTCCGCTTTCTCTTGCCATGTCGGCTGTGATGTTATACCAGGGAATTCTATTTGGTGTGAAGTCCTTGGATGGCACAACGAATCCAAAAAGCTGGCAGTTCAAACCACCCAGATGTGCTGAGGAAGAAAGATCTGGCAATCAATTTCCCCAAATCGCCCCTGCAAATCCTATGGAGCCCAATTGTATTCTAATACACACGGGGTCCCCCTGTGTCAACAGCGACGGCACCCGGCTTTTCACAGTTGATGTATTATAGACAGTGTTCATGTTGAAGCTCTAAGTCTGCCCTTAGGACCAAGGAAGAGGCAAATCTTGATAAGGGTGAGCCACAAGATCAGCTGGATCTGATCTGGCATTCGCCCACAAGGAAGACTTTCACTCCTAATCACTGCCAGCAAGTTGATGCTGACTCATAGCGACCCTATAGGACAGGGTAGAACTGCCCCCTTGGGTTTCCGAGACTGTAACTCCTTATGGGAATAAAAAGCCTCCTCTTTCGCTCTCGGAAAGGCTGGTGGTTTCAAACTGTGGACCTTCTCGGTAGCAGCCCAATGGCCACCACTGCACCACCTGGGCTGGTTTAAAAATGGATACAGACCTGCAGCCCAGCTTGAGCGCTGGCTGCAGCTGTGACCTGGGCCACTCTGTTCCTCAGGCTTCACCCTCAACAACCAGGTGCAGCAGACCATTGCCCTGAGGTATGCAAGTAGCAAACTCAGCATCGACTTTGATGGCTTCGTCGCTTGCATGATCCGCCTGGAGAGCCTCTTCAGTGAGTCCCCCTTTCCTTCACCCCCGACCCCCACCCCACCATACCCCACAGTCCAGGGCAGAACCAACCGTTGCCTTTGGGTGCCAGGGGTCCCGAGGTCAAGGACAAATGTGGGTCTCTGTGAGCCCTGGGGTAAGGGGACCCGGAACCTGGTTCTGAGTTAATCTGGGCTGGCCAGGTGAGAGGCTTGAAGAGAGATTGGGAAAGTTTCCATCAAGAGTGTTGAGCACATACTGTTATGTGTGGCCATGGGGCCAAAATGACTGAGCCATTAAGCAGCCTTTCGCGTCTCTTCACATTTATGCCTCCGTGGGGCACGCATTGAGGACAAGAAGACCCTTCCCCAGAGGAGATGTTCCCTTGATACCTTAGGCCTTGGACTCGGTTAAGGAAAACCTATTAGGGGGGAGGGTTTATCTTCGTGGAGGGTGGGCTGAGAGGTGGTAAATTCAAAAGGGAGAAGGTCAGGGGTTTGGAAAGAGCTAAGCCCCTGGATTGTCCACCAAAGAGCAAGCACCATCTGTCCCTCCCCCACCCCTCACCCCCAAGAGCAGTGCTTCTCAACCTGTGGGTCAAATGACCCTTTCGCAGAGGTTGCTTAAGACCATCGGGAAACACCTGTTTCCGATGCAGATACGCCCACATAGGAGTACCCAGCATGAAGACTGTTACCCGTGCTGCACCATGCTTCAAGACAAATTTTCATTGATTTGTCATTAGAAATAAATATTACACAACATAGAATTACCACATACTCATGTATAAGCCGAGGTTTTTCAGCATATTTTCAATACATTTTTTTGTGGTAAGATTAGGTGCTTCGGCTGATATTCAGGTCAGCTTATACTCGAGTATATAGGTACATTAAGGTGACCAGACATCCCATTTTTGGTGGGACAGTCCCTATTTTTGGAAAGAATGCATGACAAGCTAGGGAACAGTCTATATGGTACATATAGACCAAATTTTAAATCAAGAACCACCACCCCCACCCCCACCCCCCAGTTAATGGTGTCCTGCTTTAAATCTGGTCACCTTAAGGTACATCTTGTTTTTGTGATTAATCACTAAGCTTTAATTATTTTCAATTTGCAACAATGAACATATATCCTGCATATCAGATATTTACATTACGATTCATAATAGTAACAAAATGACAGTTATGAAGTAGCAACAAAAATCATTTTATGATTGGGGGTCACCACCACATGAGGAACTGTATGAAAGGGTCGCATGGTGGCATTAGGAAGGTGGAGAGCTGCTGCCCTAGAGAAACACCTTTCTGATTTGGAACATCTGAGATGCTGAAAACTAAGTTTGTCCATTTGAGCAGGGCATAGCTTAGCCCCCAAAGCTCACCTTGGACCTTAGACCTGGTTTAGCTCTTTGAAGTCTTTGGCATCAGGTGGGAGCTAGCACGTGGGGGTGGGGTGGGTGGGGTGGGGTGGGTGATTGTGGACCCACAATCAAAGGGTCCAAGGGGTAGTTGTGTAATGGAGGGGTAAATTAAAGAGACATCAGATAAGATAAGCCATGCAATTGCTCACCTCCCAGCAGTCAGGTTCGCGCAGACAGAGCGAATATATTTCTAATCACAGCATATATATGTGTGGTTAAGGGGAGGGTCCCCCACATCATCACAGGTCCGGTAGGCGCAATTGTACTGCGATAATAAGTAAAGATTATAGTAAAGTCATAGAGAGCATGAGAGGTAGAAGAGAGTCAAGTAATGGAGTCAGACACAATTCATGGTAGCATTGCTCACCTCAGCCCTGCTTGATGGTCCACGTGGGGGGAGCCCAGCCAAGAGATCAGGAGAGAGGCCCCAGGACTGAAAACTGGGAGAGCTCTTCTTTTTTGCTCATGAAGCATTTTATCTCTTTAGGGGGATATGATTACATGTAACCACACATCACAGGAAGGGGCAGTACAATAGGCGTATACATTGTAGGAAGGGGATGTATGATAGGCATAAGCGTAACAGGAAGGGGATGAGCTAGGGGTGTGCCCATACGAATGGGAAGGTCTAGGGGTATACATGTGACAAGATGGGTGGACCCTAGACTCATGATGGCAGCCTAACCTTGGTCATCCTTGGGGGGTTTGACCTCTCTGGTGTCTCCTACAAGGAAACAGACAACTACTATTCTTATCAGAAGGGAGTGGGCCCTACTTGTTGTGGGATAAACAGTGGTGTCTGCTTGCTCTAGATGGCTGATAGCTCTTAGGGAGAATGACCCCTAATCTACTCCTGATGACCTCCAAGTGTATAGTTATCCTCAAGCAGTTAAGTCTGGCATATATTTGTGGGAGACAGCTTGAGAGAAATCCTTCTGTTTCCCACATATATACATTTTGGGAATGTGTAAGCCCCGCTGATTACATCATAATAGAAAAGGGTTGTGCCATATTCATACACGCAATAGGAGGGGGACGGGCTAGGGGAGTGCACACAGTAGGAAGGGGAGGTGCTAGGGGTACACATGTGACAAGATTGACGGACTCTAAAGTCAAGGTGGCAGCCTAATCTTGGTCCTCCTTGAGTTGGCTTGACCTTGTCTCTGGGCCCTCCTTCAAGGGAACAATCTACTATCCTTATCAGCAGGGAGTGGGCGTCACCTAGGGTCTGATGGCTCTAGATGACTCATAACCCTCAGGGAGATTGCCTTTAAGCAGCTGATCTCCAAGTGTATAGACATTGACCATGTATTAGCAAGCTGCGCCTTAAGTTTGGCATATAATATGGGGGGACAACCCGGGAAAAACCATTTCTGTATCCCATAGTGGGATGTGGTGCAGAGCAAGAAGGAGGGTCACAGACAGGAGAGGCATGGGCAGAGGCAGCTTTCTGGTTGTTCCAGGGTCCAGGAAAATCCCCATCTCATTTCATTCCTTCTCTGGCATTTCAGAAATGTTCAAACTTCTAGACAAGGACCGAAGTGGCACCGTCCAGCTCTCTCTTGCTGAGGTAAATGCTTGCTGATGGTATTTGAAGTTTTTGGGCACCCTGCCTTAGTTCCGCGTGAATGCCATACATGTTCTGTGGTGTGTGTGTGTAGATGAGTGTGGTCATCTGCTATGTAGTCTACCTAACATTTTCCTCTATTACTATTTTAAAAGCTTCAGTTACGTTTCCACTCATTTCAAGGATACAAGCTCTCATTAACTTGGATGGAATTGGACTTGGTAGATACAATTCAGAGTTTGATTTCTAGGACCATGTGTCTTAGATTTGCCTATAGAAGCACATTGGCAACAAAACACTAGCTTGCAACAAGGTAGAATGAAGATGCAAAATAAATTAGTGCTTTTATTATATAGAAAGTCAGATAAGATTGTAAGCAGAAAAGCAGGGATTCCAACCGGTTCAGTTATTGCCATTAGAAATAAGGGCTCTGTGTGGGTTGCATAGCAACCTAATCTGTTGCCTATCTTATCAAGTAGGACGGGAACAGCTATTCCCTGCTCGAAGATGGTGGCCAGCCACACTGCTTTGAATGTGTGTTGATCTGTATGTACCCTCTTGCCAATAAGGTTGCTCTGTAAAAACCCTACCACAGTCCTTCCTCCTAAAAGTTTCAGAAGCCTGCTGTGGGAGACTAGACTTCTGTCAGAACTTTGGTGAGACAAACCCACTGAAAGTTGTGTGGTCAGCTGCCATTTTTGACCAGGGCATAGCAGTTCCTTTCCTACCAAGATAACCGTGGGCAACATTTTTGGTTGCTAAGCAATGCAGGCAGGGCCCTTATTTCTAATGACAATGACTGTACTATTCTGAACTCTATCAACCTCCACAGCACTTTGACCAGGAGGCTAGGACTCTAATACCAGAACCCTTGTTGGCCGAGGGGACAGCAGGGGGTGTGGGACTGTGCTGAGGGCCCAGGCCAGGAGGATGGCCTTGATCTCAATCGGCATCGGAGGCAGCAGAACTTGAGAACCAGTTGCTCTTGGTCTTGCCAACTTGCCTGGGCAGGGCCCAGTGTTCTTTCCTTCTCTAAAAGGGGAAGGCCATGGGCTCCACTGCTGTGATGGAGGGAAGATCTTCCCAGACAACAGCGCTAAACCTGAAATTGAATATATGGCTATGCGCACGTGCGCATGCGTGTTGTATCGATAGACACATACACATCTCTTTCTGAAAGTTTCTTTTGGAGTCTGGAGCGTGTTCTAAGTCCAATTTCTAGAGTGCTCTGCCTTAAGAGTCCGTGGCATCAACAAAGACCTTCTCATTTCTTATTTTGGAGCAACGACTTAGTGGAGGATGGGAGTGTTCAAAGATCCTGTCCATGTGAGGTGGAGAACACCCATTGTCCTAGAGCCCCGAGAACCCCACCCCACCCCACCCGGGATGTGGCATGCTCACCCCTGTTCTCTTTCCTTGCAGTGGCTGTGCTGTGTGGTGGTCTGAGCCAGCGTTTTGGTCACCAGCGACTCTCCGCCTGCCTGCCTGTCTCTCCCCCCTTCTTTATAAATTTGTGCCCATGTATCCTCCCAGGGCTTGTGTTGATCACATCTATCTGTCTTGCCTATTGACATATTTGGAGATCCAGGTCTGTCCCAGCAAAGCATTTTGGGGAAACCTGGGCCTCTTTTTCAGCAGCAAGGGCCCCCCTGAGCTGACCCCAGGACCTGGGGGGAATGAAATCCCATAAAGCCATTGCCAGAATGGTCCCTCTTCTCTTGATTGACATGCCATCTGGGGATTGCCTTGGGTTTTTCAGGCTTTAGGTTCTAGGGCAGCAGTTCTCAACCTTCCTAATGCCGGGACTTTTCAATACAGTTCCTCATGTGTGGTGACGTCCAACCATAAAATTATTTTCGTTGCTACTTCATCACTGTAATTTTGCTACTGTTATGAATCATTTGCAGGTTTTTTTTCATTGTTACAAATTGAACATACTTAAATCATAGTGGTCAATCACAAAAATAATATGTAATTGTATATTGTGAACTATTTATTTCGAATGACAAATAAATGAAATTTTGTCTTGAAGCATGGTGTAGCATGGGTAACAGTCTTCACGCCGGGTACTC